GCTTCCTTTGTGAGTCCGTGTCTTTTTTACACGACTATAGCAGCAACTTTTATATCTATGCTTTATACCCTAAAATTTCAATAATGAATAGATAATATAAGTGCATAAAATGTCTGAATCTGCTTCCAAAATTGATTGATCGGACACATTTTAAGTACTTTATTTCTGTCATAATTAATTGTAAATCATATTCAGATTCTAATTAGTTTTGATAACTATTTTTCTCTGTTACCACGAACATCTTCTTAACACAACTTTATTTTGATTGTTCCTTTTTATTTATTTATTTATTAAATTTTATTCATTTAAATGTATTTATTTATTTATTTATTTATTTATTCTATTTGAGTAAGTGGAAGTGATTCACTATAACTAAACATTATTCTTTTATTACCTTAATTGGATATAGTACCAATTAAAGCTTTTAGGAGTTGTTCAATCGAAATGCATAGAGGAGAACACGATGGGAGGGATTAGGAAGGTACATGTTATCGCAGGCGACTCTCTCTCTCTCTCTCTCTCTCTCTCTCTCTCTATATATATATATATATATACATACATATTCACACCAACAGAATAAAGCTAATATAAGAAAGCTGAGGCAATAAATAGTCTAGAGATCTTATCATTCAGATTTTTGTAATAATAGATTAAAAATGGGTAAATTTCAGAGGAAATTCAGACTGGAATATTTAAAAAAGTTTAATGCTCAAACTCTAGTTGTTTATGTATATTTAGCAACACTTTTCTATTTCCCATTTTATTTCATAATCCGAAAAGTTTTCTTACTTATAATATTTTATTGATAAAGAAAATACTGAACATAGCGTGAAAAAATGTGAAATGTAATATGTATTCTGGGGCCATTAGCATAAAAAGTAGATCATTTACCTAGTTACATTTGAAAGTGAATAAAATCACTACAATCATAGGTCTACAATGTACAATAGGTGGTTTTTCATTTTTATCAGTGGAATTTTTTTTTGTTCTCTGAGTAAACATCATCCTTAAGAATCAGGTGTTTTGCTTTGTTCGTATGTGATGAAGATTAAAGTAAAAGTTTTATGATTTATCAAGATCACACTAGAGAAATCAATGTGTTATGCAACCGATAATGTAAGAATTTAATCCAGTTGACTACTAAGTATACAATATATCAAAAATGACAGTATAAATAACCCCAGTTTCAGCCTCCATAGGCTGATAAAAAATCATTTAAAAATCGTTTTATATGTTACCTCTGTATACATGTATTTCTTTATCAAGAATATATTAGGAATAAAAAGAACAAATTTAAATCAGATTTGAAAAAATTTCACAAAATTTACTCGTATATAATTCCCAAAAGGTTTGAAGAAGTTTGACATGAAAAGAAAAGTATGCATAAAACTCTCTTTGTCCATCTTAAAACTCTCATACCAATAGATACAGAAAGGCGTGTACATTGCCAGATACCCTTGCCACCGTGATACACCCCCCCCCCTTTCATATTCTAATGACCAAAAATAAATAAACAAAAGATTAACGTTTTAGAAACAGCTCAAAAAGATCTTGTTGTTTCTCAAAACAAGTTCATGTATCCAAGTTATAAATACATGTACATATGTACATACAAATACGTATTTCTAGAAAGATTGAAAAATACATTTTTAGAATTCTACTTGTAATGAAAGGGACAATACAAAACTTTTTTCTTTTAAATCAAAGTAATGTTTTGATAATGGTCTACATATATGCATGCATTTATGCAATCATAATGAAGACTTAATGATTAAGATGTTGATAAATGAGTCTGTCCCACTCGGAGATAATATAACATCATTAGCAGCAATGAATATATTTGCTTTTTACAGTCTAACTTTTTAAGAATACTTGCTAGCTGTGAGAATTTTATTAATTGCTATATTTGACATTTGACAAAAAAAATGCCATAATTCAGAAGTTTCTTTGGGCTGGTATGAAAAATATTCTCTCTGATGACAAAATATAATACTTAAGACAAGAAATGGTTTGCACTAACTGTGCGACATAAGGAATTTTAAAGCAAGTGTAGGAAAGAGTTTCCTTAACTTTTTTCTTTGCAAATTAATTTGCTTAGAATTATCTTGCACGCACTACATCGCATGTACGATATTAATTTTGTAATGATATCTCTACAATGAAAAGAAATAAGGAATACAATGTTCCACTTAAATTTCTGTGCATAGTGCATCAATGTCATTAAGAGCAATACAAATCGGCATATTAACATTTGGTGTCAATCAGGAAAAATGAAAAAAAAAGTTAAAATAAGGAATGTCCTGTAAGATCGAAAGAGTGCTTGTTAAAAGGGTTTTGAAAAGTAAATGAATACAACGTCTTGAAAAAATAATACTTTTACTGCGGCCTTCAGTTCGTTCTTTATTACAAATGGACAAAATGGCCTAATTTTTTAGGATAATCTGGCATATCACCCCTACTTATTTTTTTTCCTATTTAATTTTTTTTCTTATTTTGGTACACTATTCCGTTTCTCTCTCTCTCTCTCTCTCTCTCTCTCTCATACCACACACATACACAAACACACAGACACACATTTCTGGTTGAATTAAACTCTTCCAGGTTCAGAGATGCACATGAATTACACATATTACACTACTTGTTTATGCACGTTATTCACAGGAGCACTTCAATCAAATATTTTTTTTTATTTGTGTTGATGCACTTTTGAACAATAGCGGTATTTTCCACATTTTGCTAATATATGTTAATTACTTAACCATGTTAACACTAATATGATTTTCAAATTTGTTCTTTTCAATCTGTTTTCTTTGAAGCTGGTTCCTACAAAATTGTTACCAATCATAGTATGGAATCAAAACAAATAAATGATTAATAGCCTTCCTGAAATTAAAGTACAACAACAAAGTACATGTTTATGCTGTGGAGTTTACATTCATTTAGAAGAGCTGCTGTTATCTCTTTTTATGTCTCACGTTGTGAGAAAAATTTGAAAATTTGCGATGTCATCTCTGAAGCAAACGTACATTTTTTGTACAATCCTGTATTCGTGTAGCGGCAATTCAAATTTGGGCAAATGACGAGTCAGCCACGTTTTCTTCTTAATGAAGAATATTTTGATAGAAAGAAAATCGTTAAAAGACATTGACAGTTTTTGTTTTGGTCTTATTATGTTTTTTGATACACAGAGATTATCTAAAGTGTATAAAATGATCAATAAGAAAAATTCCAAATTTAGTTTTAGTGTCTTTAGCTTCATGCGGTGGGCAATTGATTAAGACATCCTTTTTTTTACGGCATCTGAATCTTATGTTAAACTTTAAGGAAGTCTATGCCTTTGTACACCATGACTTTGTTACTTTTCGTACTAAAGAATTCTCTTCTCTTCTTAGCAATAATATAACGTACACTGTATCTTCAGACTGGGACCTTTAGGACCTAAAGGGCCTTGTTTGTAAACCTCGACATCATACCTCTGCGAGTGTGCCTGCCTCACTTCTCAGTTCAAAAAGAAAAGAGAATGTACTGACAGAACAAATTCTGTATTATGCGCTTTGTAGGAGAAACAGTTGTGTTTCTTGGACTTGAGGCTATATGTTTTGTTCCATTTGTTAAGACATTCCTCACAAAGAACGATTTTGGCAACTGTTTCTGTACTGGTTTGACATAGAGAATGCATCTTTTAACTTCTTGTAACTGATAGCGGCAGTAATTTACCATTTCTACGCTTTTTGCAAAAGGCATAAAACAAAAACACATGCAGTATAATTCATACACTTATCCTCCAGTAATTTGATGTTAAAAAAATAAACAGCAATAGAACAAATGGCGTCCCCCTGGAAGGACATGGAAAAATATCAAAACCTAAGAATATGCATTGTATCCAAAGAAATAATTTAATCAAATATGGTATATTTACATGGCCTGTAAAGCTTTGAATATTCACGCAAATGAAATGTAATAAATTTAAGGATGTTTGTAATATCCTCCTTGCACTTGCTATGGTTAGGAACAACATGGTACTCCATTACAAGATCATTTCATAGCTCCCCGGGCTAAGGGTACATGGATCGAAGTTTGTCTGGCTTTCCTTTCCTTACAAGAATGACTCTGAGGTTTTTGAACAAGTGAAGGACCTTACTCGTTTTTATTTTTATAGTGCTTTAATGTATGTAAAATTTCTAGATAAATCACCCATTCGCGAATTATTGTTCTCGCGATTTGACGCCCTTGGGCCTTTTCGCGATATTAAGTACTCGCGTAAAATAAGGAATCTACAGTAGAAGATTAAAGTTTTTAACTACATGTATTTTTCATATGGAATCATAAATTAACAAACCTGAAAGGTAACATTGTCATCATGATTTGCCAGAATCTTAACGTATTGTATATAGTGTAGGATTTTTGCATACAATGATCAAGACAGGAAAACGACTACAGCAGGGGCTTGGATTTAAATTATTGAGACGATTACATGCAGTAAAAATGACCTTTTAAAAATTGTTTAAAATTTAAATGTGACTTCAGGCGGATCGATACGTTTTGACGTGTCATTGTGACGGAGCCATCACAGTTTTTACGACGTAAAGTAAATTTTTATCCAATCAAATGGTGCATTAAAACCAGAATTAAATTAAAGAGAGAAATTTTCCGGCGTATGTTTCTTCTGTAAATATCAGATGAAAATATAATTTGGTACTGACTTTTTTTTGTTGTTCTTTTCAATTACTATTCCTTACTAGTCCTTATTGGGGGAGGGGGGGGGGGCTGGGCTGGGGATGTTTCCTAATATATATTGTGATTCCAATAAATTTGTGTAAGCTTCAAGAAATTTTATTTTCAAGCTCTTATATATGGATTATATTATACATATCCAAACTGTAAATAGAGATTTCATGTTAATTATATTCAGAAAATCAGTAAAAATTAATACTTCTTGGCAATTTGTACAATGTACAATTTTCACAAACGGGCTTCCCTACTCTTTACAACAATGGTTAATCATAAATTAGGGACAGTCTTGACAGACAGATGAACGCAAAATACAAAACCTTAAGGACAAGCTTAAAGGAATATTCACATTAACAGGACAATTAAGGTAAATATGCCACACATCATATTTAATTTTTATAATTCCTTTCTATTAATCAATAAGGGAAGATTATTTATACGAAATATGAAATAATCTGCTTTTTAGCAAATAAGTTATTCCCTAGGTAAAGACACACACTCCCTCAGGCTGAATACGAAACATGCTTTGTTAAAAAAAAAATGCCTGGAAACACTCACGAAGACCTTTCTACGATTGTAAATTAAATGTACATTTTTCTTTCATTGATTTTTTTTTTAATTTGGCAAAATTGTACTACAGATCATTGTAGAATTCTTACTTGTATTTTATTTCCTTTTCACTATTTTTAATGCCGAAAGGAATATGCAAATTAGCTAACAGAAATATATAACCTTGACATAGATTACTATATAAGGAAATACGCACATTCTGCAAGACGTACTAAGTACTTAGCATCTAAGGCTGAACAAATTGTTTTACGAAGAACACATATTTTGAAGTTAGATCAGATTAATAAATAATTAATAAATGAATTAAATACATTAATAAATAATTCAAAGTAAATACTTTATCCTATCATTATATATCTGTATTGTTCTACGCTATCTTTTTTTCATTTCAGTTAGAGAGGACAATGGTCTTCAAATACAGAGTCTATGTGGTACTGTTGTCATCTTTGTGTATGGTCTTGTCTCAGTCTTGCCCAAAAGAATGCATTTGTAGATCAAATGACGTGAAATGCCCAGCGTCCGTCAACTTCCCCGAGTCTTTTCCTTCCAATACTGAGAAAATTGTATTTGATGAAATTACTGCTGTTGAAATTCCACCAAATGCCTTTGCACATCTTCCTAATCTGACCAGTATACACTTTAGTCGCTGCAATTTTGGACAAATTAGCTCATGTGCATTTCCAAGAAAGCATAAAAATCTACGAATTACATTTGATTTGGCTGTCATTGGTGAAGTTAAAGAGGGCGCTTTCAAGGAATTGGGAGTAACTTCCATTTCATTCACGAAATCCACAGTTACTACGATAAGGGCCTATGCTTTCTGGGATATTAAAACCGATTTTAAACTAACATTCACAAATACCACGGTGCACAAAATTGAATCATTCGCATTTTACAATGTTAGTTCAGAGAATGACTTAAAATATGAAGGTGGAACTGTAAAGTACATCATGAATTCTGCAATCAAAGACTGTGTATTTACCACGGTGAAATTGAAGAGAGTCCTTTTTGAAAAATTGGAATGCGACTCATTTCTCGCCATCGTGAAAAACAATCCACAAGTTTCAGACATCGGATTTTTGTGCAACTGCGATACAGAATGGATGAAGACAATCAACCCAGATCCGTTATTTGCAATGATGCTTGCGACCGGATCCTGCAGAGGTCCGGTAGAGCTGGAGGGAGCAAGTATGAAAGACATTCTTGAAAACAACCGAGTACAAAACTGTCCGGAAGTCAGCAATGTAGGAAGAACATGCCAACGTCCTTCACAAGATATCCCAGAATTCACATGTACAGAAAGGATTATCATGGGCCCAAGTGGACCGGATGGATCAGATAACGGATCTGGATCAAAGAAAAAACCACCTGGAGGCCATGCTAGTTTGACGTATCCTTGCTGGACTTTGATTGCAGCTGTTATAATCATATCCCTTAATCTTTAAAGAAAAAGCAAGAAAAGCAATTTTTCTATCCTTAATTGCAATAGTGGAACAGAAAGCCCGAATGTTGACAGAATTTAAGATTACACTTAATTGTAATTTCTGAATTGTCAAACATGGCACTGAATTCGTAAGAAATTATTGTTTACTTCTATAGTCTTTGAAATTTCAACTCTTCTGAGGATAAATGGAAATTAAATCACAAAACTGTTAAAATAAGATTAAATAAAACAGATACATGTATTTTAAAAACATATGGGAAAAAACTAGATTTTTATATTACATATACAATTTTAATACCAATGTCAATGCATCCTCGCAAGCCAGAGGTTCTGAGTCAACACGTTGCCGTTGGACCCCTGTCATATTTCATTCAATATTTGTGGGCTGACTGTAGCGACGTCTTTCGGAAAAATTACAAATCTTGATTGTTTTTTCTTATCTCTCAACCAATCATATTAAGCCATTCTATGATAAACAACTTGTAACACGTGCATTTGAGGTTATCTAACTATTTATGAAAGCTTTAATTTGATTGGAGCTTCTCAATGAGAGAAGCAAGCCCACGGATATTGAATGAAATATGCCAGGGGTCCAACGACAACATGTTGACTCAGGACCTCTGACTTGCGAGGATGATGTCAATGTAACAATATTAAGAAGTCTTCAGTCTTTTCGTCATGAATAAATTTGTGATTTCAAAGTTACATTATTACTGACTGGATGACACTATTGTTCTTCCATACATTGACTCCACTGATTTCTCCAGTAAACATGTTTATGCCACATGTTTTGCTGATCTATTTATGAAGAATCTTCTATTCACTGCATTCTTAATAGGCCTAATTCTGTGGTTTTCATGCTGTTATATCAAGTAATCTGCCCATAAATCTAAAATAAAAGAAATTGAAATTTACAGTTTCGCAGATTATAATCAATTAAATCACTCTTGTTATATCAGTAGGCCAAGACAAATTAATGAACACTTTATTTGTACGCATTTTCCCAAATTAAGTAAGAACCATTTATTTCTGTTCACCAATACTTTGTTTTCTTTGGACATTTTTCCGGAAAGGGGGGATTAAATGCCAGATACACTATGTTGAAAATGAATAGATTACATAAAAATAAAATAAAAATTCAATATTTACACCTTTCTACATATAATTTTCTCAGTGTCAAAAAAAAAATATATTGATCAATCTCAAAAATCAAGCGAAGAATACAAATCGTGTATACAGGACATAAACACAGATCCCTGGAAACACCAAAGATGGAATCGGGTGCCAAGGAGTACCCTGTCGACCTATCACACCCGCTGTGAGCCCTCTGTATAGACAGGGTAAAAGGAGTAATCTGTAAAATGGTATGAAATCAATGGCCTAACAATTTGGCAGAAATACTGTACGTGTATACATAAATTGGCGTATTCAAAACTTAGCGCAATCACTGGGTGTGGAGTTGTTGGCGAAATCATGAATTAGCACTATACATGTCCTTGCGGTATATTGTATTTATAAATGATTTCTTAGCGGTATTCATGAATTAGCGCATCGTTGTCTGCGCCAAAGCTGCGAAAATATGAAGCCCGCTTCTTTAAGTACAGATACAGTGGACAAATACGGTCCAACCATGGGTTGTATTTGGAAACAAGGTCATTATAACGACCATAGAAATTGAAAAATGCTGAATTAATCGATATATATATATATATTTGAAACCCATGTAACATCAACTTATTTATTAGTAGGCTGCCTCTGTTTAAAACTCAAACACATGCTCCTAAATATCGAATAAGTTTGGCGACATAAACACATATGCAGATGATTTTCGAATATTACTAAATAATTAGGAAACGATGAGATTGAAAAACTGAAGTCCTACCGTCTGTCAAATAGTTTGGTTGTTATTTGGTCATTATTACACTTCTATTATTTTTCCGCAAATAAAAATTGATCGTTAGATGTAAATAATTCCCTTAAAATTTCTGTGAACAGAGCTGTTTTGCCGTGCGTTAGTCAAGTGAGCTATTCCCTGCTTCGAAAGCTAAATTCAGGTAATCTGCAATACTCTAGATTTTACTTTTTATCGGTATAATAAAACAGTAAATACTAACCATAAAACAATAAATACTCAAGAGCATGTCTTACGAACAATTTATAAAACAAGGCAGGATATTGACAAATAAGTTAACGATACAAGGACATAAACAAACTTGTTAAAAGTCAACATGTCGTAAATGTTCTGATCGATAGAATGACCTTATTTGCAAATACAATTTGTAGTTAAGTCGAATGGTGACAGACGTCTTTCATACAGATAGGTCATTATTTTCACACTGACATATCTACGGAACTTTCAGTTTAACCGATCCTGACAAGGAGTCCACGGCGGGTGTGACCGGTTCAGTAACTATTTCAAGAGAACGGGAAAATTAGAAAGACTCGGGAATGTTTTAATAGGAATCTGAAACGCAATTTTATTGAGATTTCTAATACACGTTGATTCCTGACTATGTTAAACTTAGCACAGCTATTTGCAAGGACTATATATATATATATATATATATATATATATATATATATATATATATATATATATATATATATATATATATATATATATATATATATATATATATATATATATAAAGAGAGAGAGAGAGAGAGTACTAGGTTTTCTCTTGTGCAGTCTTATCTAAGAACACTCTATTTGCATATATATCCAGACTTGGCCTTATTTTATTACACCTCCAAACAACGTAGTATGAATAGCATGCCTATCTTAGACATGACAAAATATTTCTTTTGGTGTGCAGTGGTGATTCTGACTATTGTTAGATTGACTGAAGGAAGCTTGACTAGAGCTAATTTTGAGGAAAAATTCTTGAAGCTGAAAAATAGAGTTGAACAGCTTGAAGAAACAACACAGAAACAGTCTGATCAGTTGTCAGCTCTCCAGGAAACAGTTTCCAGGTTAACGCGAACCACAGAAAGGCAGTCTAACTTGATTAACTACCTCAGGAAAAATATGCGCGTTTACAGAAGACCTTTTGATAAAGCAAAAAGCAGAATCCACCACTCAGAACTCTCTCAAAGTTTTAAAAGCGATGCTGTTGATGCTGACAAATTCCGGAATTTTGGCAAAGAAGTGAATACAGATGTGAATTTGAAGAATTCTTTCACTAAAATACTTTCTCCAAACTCCTCTGAACCCTTTAAATCTGCAAAAAATTACTTGATGAATAGGAAAGGTAAAGGAAAATGTTTTATACCAAAGTAATAAATTAGTTCATGCTAATTTATATATGTTGCGCACACAACTACTCAACGTTCACAATACTAACGTCATTATGTAGTAAATGTTCTATATCATTCTTATATCAACTTTGAAGTAACAGTAGAGAGAAATTATGTCATCACAATTCACAACCATAAGGGCGTAAGACTTATTACTTATCAATTACCTTTTTAAAGAAAGAATTGGAAAATTTGTCAATATTCCTTTAAATCATAAGACATGTGAGTTCATGTCCCTACACCTTTAATATAAGTGAATTTTACAGAATAAATAGGTGAAATATATTTGTTGTGATCTCTCACAGGAAAACTGTCATAATAGGAATTAATTAGATTGATCAATTTGTTTACAGAACGCTTCCTTCTACCAATATCGACACCAACAACCCCCGTTGAATCAGTAGCCTTTTACGCCTACATGTCAGCTCCAGTTCGTAACGTCGGTCCAAATCATGTTCTCGTATTTGACGTCGTGAAAACCAATGTTGGCAATGGCTTACATAAGAATACTGGCATATTCAACGCCCCTATATCGGGAGTGTATGTTTTCTACTGGAATGTTCGGGTATACAACGAAGAGTATTATGGCATGGAACTCATGGTCAACGAAAACGTAGCTGGTGTCTTTTTTCAACATGCAGCATACCAACATAATTCACAGGGCGGGAATCTTGCTGTTGTCCATATTAGTCAAGGAGACGATGTATTTGTGCGAACCGTTTCAAATCCGATCGATCAGCACGTAGGTGAAATATTCAATGACTGGCACGGACGATCTTCTTTTTCAGGGTGGTTGTTGTTGTAATGAATGAAAATTAAATTATTGATAAGTAATCTTAATAGTTATCATGATACACATTGCCCATTTCCACCACCCCCCCAAGTTTTATCAAACGAATACATGTATATATTTGAAATATTGATACACTGACCATTATTTTGAGGGCGTACTATGATGCATCACTTTGTATATCATGCAAATGGATTTAAATCAAAGATAATTTAAATTAAGAGTACAATTTTTAACTCAACGTATTATAGTAGAGAACTTTTACCCTCAATTTGCTATTGGAACATACATGTAGCTCAGTAAATGGTCTTAATCCACATGCTTTAGTCTGAAAAATCACGTTCTTTAGGCTAAGTGGAGATTTGGGTACTCAATGTCAAATATCCAAATTGGGAAGAAAACTTCAAATACTATAAATATTTCGGCCTAAACAGTGTCAAGCATTTCAGTGGATCACATCTTAAAGAATTCACCTTAAAAAGATACATGAATGCAATTGTTTCTTTTACATCATGAAAATAATACCTTTGCGAACGAGTTCTCTTATAAAAGCTTATAACTGAAATATGTCAAAGGGAGTCTTTCCTTTCTATTAATTAACCATGAAATCATGAATTATCAGCATGCAATTGATTTAAGTTTGAGGTCTCAAGATCTTTGCCCAAGACAAGCACGTTGCAACATCATAATACAGAATTGCAGAGTATTTTATAAAGTGAAACTATTTCTGATAATCATGCAATGAAGGATATGTGTTTATCTTTTTGTCAATACGTAATACATCAATTAAAATGTTCAAAAAATTTTTGCACGACTGGAATAGTTTTGAAATATGCATTGCATATTTATGCCTTCCGTTTTGGAATCATTTTCATGCCTTGAAATTAGGAAAGGTATTAAACGACATAATAGTTTCCGATTTTGTGACTTTCTATCATTGACCCTAAAAACCTTTCCGAACCAAGTCCATGCAGGTCAGTCATTAATGAAAAGGTATTTTAGACGTATGTCTTTATATACGTGTAGTATTACTCCTAAAGAGTCCTTATCTCCTGCGAGTTTTCACATACTATCGCGTGACCTTATTTTTCTCACAAGAACGGTGCAGAATTATTATATTTTTGATATCTACACATGGATATGACGAAATTCTTCCTTGGGTGCGCACTGGCATTACTGACTTTTGATAAGATATGCGAAGGAAGATTGACAGGTGAAAATATTATAGAAGAATTCATAAAGTTGAAAAACCGAGTCGAGAAACTGGAAGAAACAACAATAAAACAGATCAGTCAATTGTCCATCCTACATACAGGAAACAGTGTCCATGCTTAAAAAAACAACACGAAGCCAATCCAGATTAATAACATACCTTCAGAAAAAGACACGTGATTACAGGAAAGCGACCATGAAGCAGAAGATTGGGTTAGGGAATCCAGAAGACAACGAACTTCATCAAACGGATGACATTAAAACTGAAAATTGCACTCAGAAGAACTCCACTGTCAGAGTGCCTGCCAAAAGAAGCCGTTATAATCCCTTGAAACGACAATTGACAAACTCAAATGGCAATATCATTACTCGAAAAGGTTAGAAAAAATTAATACAGAGTTACTAAAAAATTAATTTACATGTACATGCATTTCTAGAATATACATATATGTTTACCAAAGAAAAAAATGCTCGATATTCCTACATACATTGCTTTATATTACAGTATATATATCAAATCCCCAATCTTAATGTGTTCTCGAACAATTAAGGAAAAAACGTCAAAATTTCTTTCAGAACGACTACTGATACCATTATCGACACCAGCACCCAATGCTGAGTCCGTGGCTTTTTATGCATACATGTCATCTGTTGTACGTGACATATCATATTCTGGTTTTTGATGTTGTAAAAACTAATTCTGGTAATGGTTTTCATCAAAATACTGGCGTATTCATTGCTCCTAAGTCAGGGTTGTATGTCTTCTACTGGAATATTCGGGTGTATAATGAGCAGGGCCTCAGCGTGGAACTCATTGTCAACAAAGAAGTGATAGGAGTCCTTTTTCAGCATTCTACATCAAGTCATAACTCGCAGGCCGGGAACCTTGCTGTTGTTCATGTTAATCAGGGTGATGATGTGTTTTTGCGAACAAATTCCAACGATCATCATCTTGTTGGGGAAATATATTCAATGATTGGCACGGGAAATCTTCTTTCTCTGGTTGGTACTTGTAAACTAGGAAGAAAATGATGAGAAATAAATGGATTAATATTTAATTTGTCTTTTCCCATTTAAATAATGTTCATGGTTTCATATGTTCCGTTGTATATAGAAAGCACAGAGACATTCACTTTATAAGAATTTTCACTTGAGCCCCAACCGGCCGGGGTTGAACACTCGATGTACTGTTTCCTAGCAGTACAGGAACAAGGAACAGCACGCTAGACTGCATGCTCGGCCATCTAGTCAAGTCAAAAAATGTGCTTTCGATGCCATGGAATTCTCGCGGCGTCGCCCTACATTTCACAATCACTGAGGGTGGCAGTGCGATACAAGTTTTATTAGAGGATTGTTACCGGTACACATTGCAATGAGATTAATTTTAACATGCGTCTGTGAAACACTGATGCCCCCGTATGGCAGCTTAAAGGTTAAAATTTCTCAAATGCAAGTCAAACTTCAAGTTAAAAGATAAAAAATGTTGGTACCTAAAGAAAGGAATATACCTGTAAAATATGAAAGCCCTAGCACCAACCGTTGAAAAGTTATGGCAAAGGTTAAAGTTTTTTAAAAGTAAGTAAAACGTCAAGGTCAAATGGTACTCAAGGAAAGATCTTGTCACAAGTGATACACATGATCATGAAATGTGAAAGCCCTAGAACCTAGCGTTCAAATGTTATGGCCAAGGTTAATTTTTTTAAAAGTAGGTCAAACTCCAAGGTCAATGCCAAAAATGTAGGTATTCAAATGGGAAGGTCTTGTCACAAGGAATATACACTTGAAGTATGAAAGCCTTAGCACCAACTGTTCATAAGTTTTGGCCAAGGTTAAAATCTTTTCAAAATTAAAGTAGGTCAAACTCCAAGGTCAAAAGGCCGAAGTTGTTGGTTTCCAAAGGAAGGTCTTGTCAAAAGGAATACACGTGTGAAGTATGAAAGCCCTAGCATCAACTGCATGTTCAAATGTTATGGCCAAGTTTAAAGTTTTTTTTAACAGTATAGGTCAAACTCCAAGGTCAAAGGGTCAAAGATGAAGTTTGAAAGCCCAAGCACCAAATGTTCAAAAGCTATGGCCAAGGTTAAAGTCTCGTGAATTTTTGCAAAAATTAGATCAAACTCCAAGGTCGATGTCAAAAGATCAAATATGATGGTACCCAAAGAAAGGTCTTGTCACAAGGAATACCCAGTTGAAATATGAAAGCCATAGCTCCAACCAATCAAAAGTTATGGGCAAGATTGAAGTTTTTGCGGACAAACAGACAGACGGATGGACAAGGCAAAAACTATATGCCCCCGAATCTTCGATTACTGGGGCATAAAAATCTGTACGATTGAAGAATTTATGCACCATGTTTTAAAAGAGCACAAGATGTGTTTGTGAAACACTGATGCCCCTATATGGCAACTTATAGCAAAGGTTAAACTTTCTCAAAATGCAAATTAAATATGTTGGTACCCAAAGTAAGGTTTTGTCTCGAGGAATAAACCTGTGAAATATGAAAGCCCTAGCAGCAACCATTAAATAGATCTGGAAAAGGTTAAAGTTTTTTCAAAAGTATGTCAAACATAAAGGTCAAGGTCAAATGGTCAGAAAAGGCCTTCTCCCAAGAAATACACTGGTAAAATATGAAAGCCGAAGCACCAATCATCCAAATGTTATAACCAAGGTTAAAGTTTCCCAAAAAAGGTCAAACTCCAAGGTCAAGGTCAAAGGGTCAAAGTTTGTGGTATCCAAAGGAAGGTCTTGTCACAAGGATTACACATGTGAAGTATGAAAGCCCTAGCACCAATCGTTCAAAACTTATGGCCAAGGTTAAAGTTTAGTAAAATGTTGCAAAACTGGGTCAAACGTCAAGGTCAAAAGGTCAAATATGGTGGTACTCAAAGAAAGGTCTTGTTACAAGGAATACACATGCGAAATATGAAAGCCATAGCTCCAACCAATCAAAAGTTATGGACAAGGTTAAAGTTTTTGCGAACAAACAGACAGCGAGTATAAATATATATTTATCCAGAAGATTAATCTTAGAACTGTTACATTTCTTTGAAACCTCGCTCTAAAACGACAAAGAATTTATACAGACGGACGGACATGGCAAACACTATATACCCCCAAATCTTCGATACGGGTGCATAAAAAAAATGTTACATAATTATTGAAGAATGACTATGGTTTTTTGTACCGAGCCAATCCAGCTGAGTTTGTTTTGGGTGTCTTATAGAATCATGATGCAACAGATTATCAATTAAAAACCTTTTGTCATTCCAGCCACAAAATGAGTATTGTTTCTAAGTTACGGGATACACAGAGGTCACAGGAAGGTCAGAAAATATGTTAATTTCGGAATTTTCTCATTTTTATGCAAATTTTCATCGATTTTACAACACATTTTGGTTCAGAAAACATAAAGCACAAGCTTGCCTATATCTACCAAAATTTATACATTTCATACACTAGTATCAGATGCATCTTATGTATAAAAATCTCAGATAGGCAAGCTTGTGCTCTGTGTTTTCTGAAGTGAAACGTATGTCAAATTTGACGAAATTCTACCAGAATTGAGGAAATTCGGGAAAATATCCTACTTCTACACCCTCTTGTGGCTTCCCTGTAAGCTTTGAAGCAAAATTAGTGTTTAAGTTCTTGACTACAAACTATCATAGTTTTAACTGTGTTCTGATTTTTACATCAAGTAAGGGGCCAGATTCGGCCGTTACCATACCTTGTCCTTTTAAGCTGTTATATCGCTGTAAATCTTAAACTTTACAAAAGAATATTTATTTAGATGTAGGTTAGTGATTTTGATATAAAAATCCCAACTTTTGTTCTACATGTTCTTTTGTGTATTAGCAGGTAGAATAATACAGATGACACATACAGTAATTTCAAATCAGCTTAGGTAATAATATACATTTGTTGACTGGGTTCGAGGGCAACATGTGTTTTGTCGGACCCAAGAAATCAAACTGTTTGCCTGAGGCCTAACGGCCTCAGGCAAACAGTTTGGTTCGAGGGGTCGACAAAACACATGTTATCCTCGAACCCAGTCAATAAATATTTTGTTATACTTTCATTTATTTATTTACTTATTTATTTTTATAAATGTACATATTGTGTTGGCTTCCATACCAACGAATGCATAAGATTTAGCTGATCCCGCCCATTGTTTGACGTTTGCGTCCAATATCTCACTCTGCGGTCAAACATCGATTTTTATATGACCGCTCAGTAAAACATTAGAAATGTTAGACTTTTTTCAGTATAGATTATTATAGGAACTAATTTTTAAAGGTATAACAACAATTCTTTTTTTTTTCCTAAGTTTACAAAGCGGCATTATGTTGTGATTTTTAATTGAGAAATATAGGTTTTTTGACAAAGTCAACCGCATTCCGAGAACCCTTTACATTTGAACAGTATAAAAGTCAAATATCAAATATCAGCAATTTTAGAACCAGTGTCCACACTGTGATCAAGGTAACTCAATGATATCATGAACTGCTCTCAAATCTTATTTCTGCAAGTACAAATTCAAAATAATTATCAAAGAATTTCAAACCTTAAACTATGATACCGACCATCTTGTCACTATGTTTTTAAAATGTCGGCCTATAACCTTTACATAGCAGAGTCGGGTACGTAGATTGGATTGTTGATTCAGGATTTCATGCTTGGTCGATATGCTTTTCTGTTATGTATATGTATATCCAAAATTTTGAAACCAAAAAAAAAAAAAAGAAAGAAGAAGGAGAGGAGGGAAAAAAAAGGATAATCAACGTCACATTTAGAAAGGTCACGGTGCACAAATGCCTGTAAGGTTGAACAATTTGATTTTTTTTAAAGATTTTTTTTTAACATTCAGACATGCACATGATGCATGTCAAGATACTTTAATAAACTGACTTTAAATTAATCCTTGAATTCCAATTTCTTTGAACATATGAAAAACTCATCTAAAAATTCTATTCTATATAATAAGTACAAAATTTATCGTGGACTGGCCTTTTTTATTGTCTGCATGGAGTATTTGGAAAACCCTTGTCCAAATGAGTCAGGAAACAGAGTTAGTAATCGTACGATCGCTTAAACATGTGTATAAGCCAATCAGAATTTTCGATTGCGTAAATTCTGAACACCGGAAGTAAACCCCCCTGCTGATCATTTTTTGTTGTGAACTGTGTATTTTCATCAATTTTGCTACAAATTAAAAAGACAAGTGTGAAAATTAAATGCATTTAATTTTTAAAAGATAATTTTATGGATTAGAGACAATATTGAGATTATCAGAAGGTAATTGTTAAGGATTTATGTTAATTTATAGATGTTACATGTTTTGATTCCGAATTTCCTCTTTTAAAAAAAGAGATGCCACCGGAGTGAAACACAAATCCTAAATTTAATTTGAGAAAGGAGCTGTTAGATAATGAATAAAATGTTTCAGTCCTAGAGCTCGTTGAACAGACGAACTGTTAAAGTCATTACTATGATTTACCTGTAATTGACTGATTGATGGAATTGGTAAATGACATGTTTTGCGAAATTACATGTCATACAGTTGAATTAAAGTGGGATTCATGGGGGGGGGGCAGTATAAAGCATTTAATGTGTTTTATCATTTGTATCAAGAAATCAGAAAAGCTAAGTTGGCAGAAATGTGCACTTTTCCTCATCATCAGTAACATTATACTAACATACAAGTTTTCTATCCTTTTCCAAATTTTATAGAAGTGTTAGTTGATAGAAATCATGTGGGTTACTGAAAAACATTTGTTTTTCTGCATTTTAGATGAGTTACATTTCCTTAAATCATATTTAATGAAAAATGATATAGCATTCACAAGTAACTCCAACCAATGTATATGCTATGAATAATGTGCATAACTTCCATCATAAAAAATGGCAGATAACTCTGAAAAGGGAAAGAAAATTATTGAAAAAGTTTGATGAATTTCTGAATTGAGTGCCACTGAATTCAGAATCTTCACTGAAAATTTCAACTGACAAAGTCCAGTCAGCATTGGCAGTGGCAAGTAGAAATTTAACAACTCCCTGAATTTGCATACCTGATAAAAATTGATGAATTCAGTCACATTATGTTTTACAGCAACCAGAAAACCACAGAGGAAATGACAGGGGTTACTTAATCAGCTGTGCAGTGTATCCCTCCCCATGAACCATGAAGTCGCTGCAGGAATATGTGACGCAGGTGTTTTACACCCATGGTCTGTTCTGCGCCAGTCATCCCTACTCAATCCTGACAGTAGTCATTTGCATCATGCTTACGTCTTTGTAAGTTTTTGTCTTCTGTGGTGCATTTTATTTTTCCAATTATAAGATCTTTGTAAGAAACAATGAATAAATTATAGAAAGTAAATTTTGTGAAATATATTTTTAGGTTAGGAATTGCCATTCTGTGATAAATCATAAAATTTCATATCAGATTTGGTTGTCACCTTGTATAGACAAATATTTTTTGATCTTCAGTTATCCCCTGGTACACATGCCTCTGCCAGGAAATGTCCCACTACAGCACAGGGAGGCTCTAGCTGATTACAAAGTCCCCTCAGAGAAATCCCCTAAACCCACCACCCCCCAGACAGGAAAAGACAGTCGCCCCAACGAACTCTTCAAACCTCCATGGGTAAAGAAAACATTTGTGACAATAAAACAGTACATGTTTATTATTAGACTAAATGATTATATTAAAAAGAATTATTTTTTAATGTTAGTTTATTATTTAGATTTTAATCCAAAGTTATTTGATTATTTTTAGGTCCTGTAAAATTTAACTTGTTCATGTGTATGCCATAGTGCAAGTGTATTTTCTGTAGACTTTCAATATAGTCAAAGAAAATTTATGCAGAATATGTATAATGTTTTGTATTTGAAGGATTATTTTATAATGTAACTTTACATGAATTTATTCTAGTATCTAGGAGTTCCTGTTGGGTACATCCAGCAAATTGTAGTCAAGGCAACAGTGTCACCATGGAAACAAGAATACATGATTCCAGAGGATGCATTTAGGACACCTTTACTCAGGGTATTTGACATTCTGGAGGAGCTGGACAAATTCAAATTCAAGAATGGGTAAGAATCAGATTAACAGTAGATAGTGGTAAAAATTAACAGATTACTTGTATACAGTCAGTTTCATTAGGATTCTCATTAGAAATATTGGAATTTGTCTTATGAGTACATTTCAAGGGCGTAAACGTTATTTCAATTCTATTACTACAGCTTTTAATCTAGCTGTATTTCACACTTTGCAGTGATTTCACATAATGAAGGCATCTCCTATAGCAATTTCAGACAGAATTATAAATTGGATATTGTGCTGCAATGTATGCCCAGACCTTAAGGCTTAACACTGAAGTGGTGCTTTTGCTCCATTAAAAAAGTATTAAATCCTAGAAATGTTTGATACAAAAGTAAAACATGTATGTTACAGTGAAGGAATATTGCTCATAGACAGTGTACAAATGTCTATATTTACTGAACAGGACTGCTGAATACTCTGTGTCTGATGTATGTCTGCGTGTCGGGGAAGTCCTACCTAAAATCAAGTTCAGAGAATTGCTGCCAGAGTATTCCTGCCTGACGCTCTCACCGGCCAATTTCTGGTTCCGCAAGAAAGAGAAGTAAGCTCTTGTACACCTGAAATAAATTTAGAAACACAAAGATGTTGGTATGCATAATAATCAAACACTTCTTTAAAGTAAATTTATATCTCCCTTTGATTTTCTAACTTTGATACAAGAATTAGTAGATTAAAGAACTTCTCTACTGGAAAATTTATGCTTTTTGCATGTATATGTTTTTAGCTCTCCAAAGCCAAAAGCTTATTATAAGTGAGCTTTTTTTATCGAAGGTTGTACATCATCTGTCTGGTGTCTGTCATTTGTTGTTGTTGACTTTTACATTTTCACTTTTCTCTTTAGAACCACTGTGACAATTTCAAACTTACCACAAATCACCCTTGGGTGGAGGGAATTCAAGTTTTGCAAATGAAAGGCCTTGCCCCTTTTCAAGGGGAGATAATTCAAAAATAGGAAAAATAGGGTGTGATCATTTAAAACATTATCAAAAGAGACAAAATTAAGTGAAAGTCTGATGCAGGATGTAGTATATGAGGGATAAAAGTTTTATATGGAAATAAACACATGATACATGTAAATACCTGGTAGGAAAATTCTTTTTAAGAACAGCAGTGCCAAAGGTTACTCAGGTGAGCATTGTGGCCTATGGACATCTTGTTTGATTATAAACCTTATTATACAGATATTTAGCGGATGGGGAGATTCTCAAAACCTTGTTTAAGCGACATGGACAACCTTTGGAGACACCCCCTTATCTCAGAGGTAAATTTTACATGTATATTACAATCATTTAGAATAAACCTCAAAAAATCTTAATAAAACAGTCACAGTTTTTTGTGTGTGACAAAAATGTCAGGTTAAAGCATTGAATTGTTTTTCTGTTTGACAGACATCTTGTTTGGAATCCCATGGAAGAACTCAGGGATATCTCGTTACTTTATTAGGAACCAACAAAGAACTATCAGCTTTGCCATCTCCATTGCTTTTAAGAATTACAATCAAAGGTAAGATGGTTTGTCAGCTAAAGAGATGTTGCAGTACATCAAAGAATAATTAAGATTATCGTGTGCATTTCACAATGATTTAAGGTTCAATGACCCTCTGAGAAGAGAGATAACTCTCACTGCTATAAATGACTATTATTCCTTTATAAAGTTATTTAAAATTCATAAAATTATTAAGTGAAAAGGTGATTTCTGTCAATTTTTTCCCACAAGATATAATAAAATTGAGTGCATTATTATTAAGATTTCTCTTGGAAAGTTATTAGTATCAAAAAAAAAATTCTTAGAGAACAGAGGGATGGTGAACCTTAAAAACTTGAGTCTTCTTGCATTTAAATTGCCTGTATCCCAACAGTGTTTCATAGTATGATAAACCAGTTTGTGAAAATCTTAAAGGAGTTAAGAGTTTTTGTTTTATGATAAGTAAAAGGATTGTTAAAAATTATTTGAAAGAATTTATTACTTTTTTAATGAATTTCATTATCATTATGAATAATTATCATCCTACTTTTTTTCATTAGATTATTTCTTAGATTTTTTCCATTTTATTGATGAGAAAGCACATGTACAAATAAATCATGATGATGATTTTATTTCTTGTGAAACTTATTCATGTTAATATTTTATCCCTTCACCAGCTTTCTATTGGCTCTGAAGTCACGACTAGAGGATCTGTATCCAGAAACAGCAAGGAATGTTAACAACAGTCAGGTCAACACGATCGTACACATCCACTACCCGGACAGTAAAGTGTTTACAGAACACACCTATCTCATCATCACCTACGTATTCCTACTCATGTACATCTACTTCTCCGTCAGTAAGTAATCTACTCATCATCACCTATGTGTTCCTACTCATGTACATCTACTTCTCCATCAGTAAGTAATCTACTCATCATCACCTACGTATTCCTACTCATGTACATCTACTTCTCCGTCAGTAAGTAATCTACTCATCATCACTTACGTATTCCTACTCATGTACATCTACTTCTCCATCAGTAAGTAATCTACTCATCATCACTTACGTATTCCTACTCATGTACATCTACTTCTCCATCAGTAAGTAATCTACTCATCATCACTTACGTATTCCTACTCATGTACATCTACTTCTCCATCAGTAAGTAATCTACTCATCATCACTTACGTATTCCTACTCATGTACATCTACTTCTCTGTCAGTAAGTAATCTACTCATCATCACTTACGTATTCCTACTCATGTACATCTACTTCTCTGTCAGTAAGTAATCTACTCATCATCACTTACGTATTCCTACTCATATACATCTACTTCTCTGTCAGTAAGTAATCTACTCATCATCACTTACGTATTCCTACTCATGTACATCTACTTCTCTGTCAGTAAGTAATCTACTCATCATCACTTACGTATTCCTACTCATGTACATCTACTTCTCCGTCAGTAAGTTGGCTACTGATCTCATTCATGTATCACAAGTATTGATGTTGATTTGACAAAAGTACTGCTCCTCTGGCTGTTTATTTATAGTGAAACAGAACTCCAGCAAGGCTCTGATGTCCAGTGAAAGGAGTGGTCGTTTTGTCAAAGAAGCACCAATAGCATGAATACTGATTATGATAATTTTGTTTAATGTTTGGCTTTTTATGACTTCTGTAATTGACCCATTTACAATAAAATTTCCTGAATGTGTTAAAACATTTGAAAAATTAAATGTGACAGATCTGTTAAGAGATAATGCTGTTCTACTTGTTAAAAGTTTGAATGCTGAGCTTTGAAAGGTCACATGTCATAATCAATTGGTTTTCCTGTTCTTGGTTGTAATAACTGATTGTAACACATAAAGTCTCAACTAAAGGTTATTGTCTGTAAATAAGCATTGCATGTCTAATTGCTTATACTCTATAAAAGAATTTTTTCAGAATTCATCAGAAAAAATATTTGTAAAGTGAATGAGAAGTCATTCATTTCAATGTAATAGTCACAGGAATAAAATTGATGTAATCCCAAACTGATATTTTCATGTTTAGGTGAATTTAGACATTCACTTTCTCATAAAAGAACTACATGTAAATATATCTCTTAAGATATAAAATAAAACTCCTAATTGTATTGTGTATTTATTTGACAGGGAAGATAGAGATGGTGAAGTCTAAGTGGGGTCTGGCTCTGAGTGCGGTGGTCACTGTCGTAGCCTCACTCCTGATGTCCGTCAGTTTCTGTTCCTTGTTTGGACTCACCCCGACACTGAACGGAAGGTGAGTGTTACTGAATAGTCTCTTTTACAAGGATATTTTATAATTTTGGGTGATTGATGTTAAGGACCCTCTGTACACTAATAAAAAATGTTTTTTGGACTTTGAGAAAATTTTATTGTATAAAGGTGGAAATATTGAGTTGATCTATTTCATTTTCAACTAAGGATACCTGCCATTTTGCCTTAGGGAAAATGTTCAAAGACAACAAAATACTGAAGAACAATAGTCACTGTTGCTTACTTAAATGGGGAAAAAGATTGCAAATGAAGTATTCAGTTACTTCATCTTGATCTAATAATATTGTAATACTTAAGTTGATTACAAACTGTTTATTACACTGTAGAATTTAGTTTATTCAATTTCAAATCAAATCACTCTAATTGCCTAAAATTACCACGAAATTAGAACTCCTCAGTGTGCAATGTATAGAGGGTCCTTAAGTTCATAAAAATGAGCTTTAATGTGTCCTCTTAATACAAAACTTTAATGTCATCTTCAAGAATTTGTATATGTATGATGTGATTTGATTAATAGTGTATGCATTATATCAGTGACTAATACATGTACATACTAGTAGATTGAGAGTGAATAAGTTAAGTATCCTTTATATTTCAGTGAGATTTTTCCATACCTGGTTGTTTTTGTGGGTTTGGAGAATGTTCTTGTCATTACAAAGTCAGTCGTGTCAACACCTGTGGATCAGGATGTTCGATTCAGAATTGCACAGGGTAAGAATGCTACATACTGATGGTTTACAACTCTACTCTAGTGATCTTCCATTCATAGCCTGTTTTAAATAATTTTTTTTGCTCATAAACATCTTTAAGGTGACAACCATGAGTGCGGAATCTTCAATTGTTTACTAGTACATGTATATCGACATTCAATTTTTCAAGTGAAACTGTTAACAGAACAATTTTCTTTGCTGCTAAAGACATAACAAAGTATATACAAGAAAAAATGTATCTTATTCAAAAAGTTTTCCCCAATTTTGAAAAAAAATTGATTGAGAGAAAGAGAGAGATATGCTGAACATGGGAGCTTTTTTTGTAGGAATAAGTCAGGAGGGCTGGTCTATCACAAAGAACCTGGCCACAGAACTCATCATTGTTGTAGGGGGCTTCTTCACCTTTGTACCTGCCATTCAGGTAAGTGACATTTTACCTATAGGAGGAAAAAGTTATTGATAGAGAAGTTTTCTCGTATTGAAAATCAGAAAGGAAAATTTACACATATACTGTGGAATCATCATTATTCATGGGGGACCAATGTTCATGGGTCACCCTTACCCATGAATTTACATTGTCAACAAACTGATCATTAAATCTTCTGTATGTATATCATTACCCATGAAATTATGTTCCCCACAAAACAGTAAAATTTTGAATGCCCATGAACATTTACCCCCCTCCCCCCACCCTTCTCACACTAAATAAAAGATTCCACAGTACCCTCCCAGGTGGAAGGCACTGGGGAAATGACAGTGTGTCAAAGAGAAAATGAAAAGATCTACATGTATGTCATGTCTCAGATGAATAAAAGTTGTCAACAAGGTACCAATATTTACAACTGTCATGGGTGTGGATTTTTTTTTTATCCTTTGTCTTTTTTTCCCAGGAGTTTGCCTTGTTTGCTATGGTGGGACTGCTGACAGATTTTTTCTTACAACACGTTTTCTTTTTGACAACACTGTCCATTGACATCAGAAGAATGGAGGTATCTACAAAAATTCTTACAGTTTATGGCTATGTCCTCTATTTAAACATTCCAACCACTCTGGTGGTACTTTGTATATGACTATATGTGAAATGAAAAAAGAATCAATAAAAGGGATTTTCTATGAATTTTAATGAACTGCTAATGATTTTGGCCTGGTGATTAGATATGGAGTTTTGATGAAAGTTGTACTTGAGAAAACATTAAGAAAGAGCATATAAGAGAGATAAAATTATTAGCAAGAAAGCAGAAAGTGATTATTTATTACCCAGTAATATGTTTCCATGGTTTCAAAGCTGTAAATGATATTTTTATTTTAGCTGACAGATCTTCACAAGAAATTAAGGACATCTGTATCAGACTGTCAAATAGGTCATCCCCCAGGGTCAAAGGTCATTGAGCCACTGGTTCTGTGTCCTGCACGGGGCTTTGTATCGGCCCCAAACCTGTCCACCACAGATAAAACCTCTGTAAAGAAACACCGTAGGACCTCCTCTAATGTGTCCCTCGGTCCACCGTCTTCACTGGCAGATACTGTCCAGACATCAAGACGTTTACGTCTCATTGATTTCTTGGCAGATACCAGAGTTATCCAGCGATTTATCATGGTATGGCAAATAATTTGTAGTTTAACCCATATTTTTGAACACAATTGTATGTCACATTTTTTGTCACATTCTTTCCATAATTCTTAAACAGTACAATTACAATATGCACTTTAAGAAAGGGTGGAAGGCAAATTTGTTCTGTAGGACCTCTCTGTTACATTTTCATTACCTTTGCTAAATTACTCATGAATTTCTAAGAAAATACAATTCATTTTTCCTGATTCATGATTGAAATGTAAACTTTACCAAAAAAAAGAGAGAGAGAGAGATAGAAAAATGGAAGTCAGAGGTGAAAATTGATAATACATTTCATATTAACTAATATTCTTCATTTTTCACCAGTGTTTTTCAGATTATGCAGAAGTTGATAATTGCTATTTTTATTTTTTTTCAAGTTTTGCACAGTGATATGGATTGGATTAATTGTGTACAAAAGTGGAGTACTGGAGCATCTCTCCAACCCTCACCAGTCCAGCACAAAAAACTTATCCCAGGATTCCAGTGGACAGGATATGCCTCCCACTGAGAAACTCTCCAATATTGGAGATAAGGAAGGTCAGAGCACTGCTGGGCAGACTGCCAGTTCTTGGTGGTTCCAGGGTGAATCGGTGGATCCGGAGGGAGTGGTGAGACATAGGGAAGTTGAACTTTGGCAGCAGTTATCTTACAAACACTGGCCCACTCTGTTTGGATACTACAATATAAGTTTGTATGGAAAGTAAGTGAAATAAAGCAAACTGAAAAAGAGAAAAAAAAATGTATACGGTTTACAGTAAAACATGCTTATAGTGAACACGCTTGTAATGAATTGAAGCTTACAGCAAAGTGATTTTCATTCCCTGTGGCCTTAAAATACATTTGGAACTTATTGGATTTAAAGAATTTCATTTATAACAAAGCAGAATCATCCATCCAAGGCACTTCATTATAAGCGTGTTTTACTGTATTTGGAAAGTAGAAATGTAAAAAAAGAAATGCATTGATTTAAGATATACTGTTGTTCACATTCTAAAGATTACTTGACAATGAAACAAAAGTCATATACAGGTGACTCTCGATGGCTCGAATCTCTCGAAGTTCCCGATCTCTCGAAGTGAATCTCTGGTCCCGTTTTTTTACTCTATATAATAACTATGCAAATTTACTTCTGATCTCTCGAACTTCCGATCTCTCGAAGTTCTCTATCTCTCGAACCAAGATCTGGGTCCCATTACACATATTTCATTGTTGTTTACTCTCTATCTGTCGAAGTTTTGATTGCGCGGGTGTACACGCCAATCAAGTGTGAAATTAATGTAACTTTGACTTACCTGGATAACAGTGAACGTCTGGGGCTGGCATGGAGGTGTTAATTGGGTGTTTAAATAGATGACTCTACACCTTCGAGTCGTCAGAGTGTTGATATAATTTAATTTATTGGTTATAATTGGTAAATTATAAGTGAATTGCTTCACAACTTATTTTGACTTGACAGCAAGACGATAATTTTTAGAAAATAATTTAAGAGACGTGTCAATAATTTTCCATAGATTATGAAGTTTTATTATAGTCTACATAATCCCAGTATGAGAAACATTGCACAAGAAATCCTATCTCAAGAATTGAATACCGATTTAATACGAGAAATCTGGTGAAGGACCCGATCAAACCTGGGGGATAACAACACCGACGATTGCTATTCAGGTTTCATGTAATCATGAAATGAGAACAAATAAATATTGAAACTTAAAGAGATCATTTTATTTATTCAAAATACGATCATTGTTGTTGAAATCAAGTGAATTACCTGTAAAATACGAGTGAAAACGTGCAATGACATTATCAACGTATAATTCCGGTATTTATTATAGTAGAAAAATGATGGTCGGAACTGTAAATTCCGGATTTATTCACTTTCTATCTCTCGAACCCCTCGATCTCTCGAACTTTTCTTGCGGTCCCTTGAAGTTCGAGAGATCAAGAGTCACCTGTACTGTATGTGTAATTAAAAAAAGCAGGCTTCATATTTTAGCGGCTTTGGTGCGGACAACAATGCACTAATTCATGAATGCCGTTAAAAATCATTTATAAATACAAATTTTGACGTGGACATGTGTAGTGCTAATTCATGATTACGCCAACCACTCAATATCTAGTGATTGCACTAAATTTTGAATACGTCAATTTCTGTACGAGGGCTGTTCGTAAATTATTGAGACATTGTGTATATTCTTCTTTCTAATGAACGCTTTTCGGTGAAAATTTGCATATACGTTTGACAAACACTAAGAATTAATAAAAGCAAGAAATATTTTTAAAATATTTTATTTCTTCTTTTCAGTGGTATATAAATGTGTCATTGGTAGGGGTACCCGGCGCAGTCATGAAATCAGATATTGAAAATATGTAACACCAACGTTAAAACTCCCAGTGGATCCATAGTGAGAGCGAAAATAATCCAAATTATGTATATATTTTTCGATTCGATCTTGTGCAAGTTTGCTAGAATTTCGATCAGAAAAACGGAGATCATTAAAAAAAATTTAAGCGCGGTAAAGCAATCTGATAATGATGACAAAACGGATTTTGATGTCAAGGCGGAGCAGCAAGCATACCTAAAATTTTGTGTAGCGGTATTGAGAACTCTTGTCCAGACTAAATGACCTGCTAAAACAAAAACAATGCAATAAAACATGTCTAAGGGTTTATTTTTTCATTGGTATGTTTTTTCTCGCAAATAATTCAACCAGAGTAAAAACAAAAGCTTCGGACGACCATCAATTATTACGGATTAAATAATGTTGACCCGCGTTGCATAACTCGGTACTGCATGATACTAAGTCAACTTGTATATGACACTTCGTGTATATTTTACACTGGGGTAGCAACAGCACACGTCTTATTTTGATTTTTGTTTTTGTTTTTTTGAAGAATTGTTTAAGAATTATAAGAGACAGTTTGAATTTTGGAATGTTATATGTAATGACAGAGAAAGTAGATTGAACAATTCCCGATCATTTCACAGTGAGAAAATATCGGCTGACCAGGCAATGAAATGACGTAGCGATGCTGCTCCTGGTCAATAGACATATACTTGTTTATAATTTCACCGGAACATATTTAATTATCCTATAAATTAGAAATTTTGCATAATTGTTTTATTTGTTCTTTATGAAATGTTGACGAACTTTCATGAATTTATCTCTGTCCTTTGTGGAGTAAAAGTAATTGTCTCAATAATTTTCGAACAGCCCTCGTACACGTACAGTATTTGATTTCTACCACAAAAAATATTTCACTCTGGGAAATGCATATATGCAATACATCAAAATATAATTCTGCCTGTAACTCCTTTCAGAATTTTGATCTTGAATTTGGAATAAGATTATTGGATCTTTTTTTCTGAGTTACATGTATTTAATTTAAAATCGTACATAACTATTTTTTATTCCAGATTTATATCCATTTTGCCCAGTCTTCATCTTTCTATTGTGGTGGATCCTAACGAGGCAATATCTCTGAGACACCCCAGTGAAAATGCAGGAAAAACCCCTCAGCAAATTAAACAGGAAATAGAGCAGATCTCCCAAGAACAGTTGTCCGAGGCCAAACGTGTGGAATCCGATGTTCTTCCAGACGACAGCATCAAAGGAATGCTTGAGTCCTTACCAAACTATATCTACGACTCGGATCAACTAAGGAAATTGTATGACCCTGAAGAACTCCGAAAACTGTACCCCAAGTCTCAGCAGGAACTCCTCTCCACCATTCTGTTGGTGCTGTTTAGTGCTATCTGTCTGTCCTATTTTGGTCTGGCATTGTATCACTGTATCTGTCCCAAGAATTATGCCAGGTGGCGCTCAAGATGGTTCAGAGGTCAACAGAGAAAACGGGAAAAGGGTCGTGGGTATTACAAGCAAATCAAGGAGTCTGTTCCCAAGGTCCTTAAAGGTCACCTACAGGTAATAGCATTTATATTACATGAACAACATAAAAATGTTGTGAAACCACTTGATTCCCAAATGTTGAGATTTGGAATTTAATAATGTTGTGTAATGCAAACTCACATATTTTAGCATGGAATATTTATAATACTATGACATGTTTAAAAATTAGATAATTACTTAGAATGTCTGATTTCTGTACTGTCTAAGCAGATAAAATTTACATGTACAGTCAAACCTTGTTATCTTTAACTGGGATAAAGCTTCAAGATATCACAATATTCGAGATAACAAAGGTTATAAACATAAAGAAAAAATGGTCTGGACTGTCAAATCACTTCTACATATCCCTTGCATTTGAGATATTGGTGTTCGAGATGAAGAAGTTCAACTGTACTTTACTTTTATTAATTGTGATAATGCAAAATTTTGTCATGTTTTGCCTATACATGTATATTAATGTGAACCCACACTTTAAGCAATAATGCGTCATTACACACAACATTACAATGAGCTTTATACATTGAAATAATGTATGCCTAATAAAAGTTTTGGATTATGAAGGTTTGGACATAGGTGATCACTGGTGGTCTCTCATTGTGTGATTTGTATTGTAGGAGATAGAATGTGTGGTGACAGATGGTCAGTACATCATCAGTGCCTGTTTGGGGGGTCAGCTCAGAGTCTGGGACTCATTTACTGGAGACTGTGTAACTGTCATCCACAGGAAAGGGTAGGTTCCAAAACTGTATGTTGCTGATATATAGCTTTTGAAAGCACAGATGCTTAACTTAAAAGCAAAATCAAATACTATAGCACTCGGATAAGCTTTTCTCTGAAAATTGGTTCAGAATCATCAGAATCAATTTTCTTTAATGAATGCCCATTTCATCTGTGTAACTTTTTAGAGCCACCCCTCCAGTGAAGCGAAAACCTTGTCTTGGACGGAACATCAATGACAGTGATGCTGACTTGTATGCTGAATACCATGGTAATGGTAGTCATGGAAACGGCAGTGACCCAGAAGAAGTTGACCTTCAGAGAGCTCGGCCCAGACAGAAGGCAATCAGCCATGTACCTTCTCCCCAAGGGAAAAAACTTTTCCATAATCAGCCCAATCTCTCAGGGACAATTCACACCAATTTCTACATGGCTCCTCCATCTCCTGTCAGCCACAGTTCCCCCACCTCTCTGGATCCACCCTCAGTCTTCACCCCGGAGAGCTCTCCCTCACTGGGTAATTCATCTTGCGAGATGAGTGGGTTTGATTTCCAGTCACGGTTTCAGCCTCTCTATGATGAGCATGCTCAGTTCGTACGAGAGAATCCTGTAGAGGAGGATGTTTTCTTAGAAATTAGGTCAAGAAGTTGGAGTGCTGGTGAGTGTATGTTCTGTACAGATAAATTTAATGTGTGTATACTCCATTAAGTTTGAAGATCAGAAATAAACAAGAACCAAATAAACAGTAGTATAAGTGGACTTATGAATTGGTGTCAGACTAATTAATGAACAGAACAAAAGTTACCTAACTTCTGACCATGTGTGGTGTGTTTTAACATACAGTACCTGTATAAAACTTTAAGCTTTCAAATATTTATGTGTATATACATCTACACAGGTTGTACATGAAATGTAACTCTCAAACCTATTGATTGTAAATCCTCCCATTAGCCTCAAATAAGAACAAGTTCCATTGGAGACAAATGACTGAATGGTAAAATCTGTTTCATATATCTTTTCTGATATTCTATATATTTTGACTTCTCTGTTTAGGAGATCATCCTTTGACTACAGAACATGATGCTGCATTGTTTGACTCTGGCTTTGAGGGAAACCAAGCACCTGCAATCTGGTGCCTCTCTTGTTATGAGGGTCTGATTGTAGCGGGCTGTGGAAATGGCAGAATTGAGGTAATCTTTGTAGTCATAACATTTATGAAGGACAGAATCAATCAAAAGTAGACAATTTTCTCAAGGATGAGTGCATGCATGTTAATATGAAAAGAGTTTCATGTAATTTATATAGTGTATTACCCTACAGTAGCCTTGAGATGTGCACTGGTATTTAGTTATTTCAAGATTATTTGAGTCACATACCATACACTAATGATTTCTGTATCTAACAAAAATTTATGCAAACGTGCATAACTATGTCCTACAAAAAAGACCGTGATAACTTGATGTACATTTCATGTATATTTTAGTAAAAAATGTGAATATTTAAGCAAACATTTCTTAAATATTACCTATATAACATACACATCACTTAATTTTTGAGAAATGGGTGTATGTTATGTTCATCTGATGTGCAGAGGTTTTATTGATTGATATACTTAAAATAATATAAATGTCTATTTATAGTTTTGGGAAAGTACGAGTGGCAGCTTGAAGTGTATGTACGGTGATAACAAGACTGGAGTTACTGCCCTTTGTATAATTAATAAAAGGCAAGTTTATTAATGACATCCTTTATGTACATGGATGACCTTCAGGAATTTCGCAAAACTTCATTCATGTGGTCTTTCATTGAGCTATTAATGTCAGCTGGAGAGAAATCAGAACTGTTTAGTTGCATATTCCATCACCATTAAAATGGAAAATATCCAATATATCTAATGTGAATGTTATGTCATATTCCAGTATTACCGTAAAATCAAATCTCACATAGTAATTGTACAGGAGACTGTTACAATTATTTGTGTTCACTTTTCAACATAGGATTTTAAGCGTGATACTCATTATGCAGGAATAAATCATTTCATGATTTTTCGAAATTTATTTTAGGGTGGTTGCTGCCAGACTTGATGGTTCATTAGATTTCCTAGAAATTGAAACATTCCATAATCCTATCTTACCATTAACCAATCCGTCCAATTCACCACATGTCAAAGGTGAGTCTCTTCTTGGTATCTCAGGTTTTTTTTTTATGCTGAATTGAATCGTTGGCAAGTATACTTCAGATACATATACATGTATGTGTACACTGACACATGAAAAACAAAATGACATACATGTAAATCTTTATACTGTTTGTGCATATTTACAGTATACTTTAGAAGCAATAGTTTTCCTGGGGATAAAATTTTGTTGATTTGTCATTTAAAATGGTTTTGTTGGCATTTGATTTCATTGATTCGAAAGTAACCCTTTTCAACAGAGAGTCTTATAAAATTTTGTATGGGATTTAATTTCGTTGATAACTGCTAAAAAAAAAAATAAACGAAATTTAATCCCCAACAAATATTTCTGCTTTTACAGTATATGTACATGAACATATAGAACTTCTGTTCATTTCAGTTACATGTATTAAAAAAGTGTACGTGTACATGTACATGTATTTTAAAAGACTTATATTGTCTTCATTAGTGGTTTTAAGTTTGTTTTAAACTTAATTTTGTTAGATTATTGCCCTGTTCACAGAAGTATCAGGGGAAAAAATCTGCTTTGAATACTTTTAAGCAAATCTGACCTTTTTATTTCTTTAATTGATAGTAATCTTGCAAATTTGTTCAACATTTCTGCAGGTCATATGAGATATCATAGTCAACATAAAGTAGTTCTCATGGACTCATCAAAGAAATGGGAGGAGATTTTACATGTTACCTTAGTGAATAGTGTCAAAGCTCACCAGCAACCAATCGTCAGCCTTAAATGTGAAGGAGGGCGGGTCATTTCTGCCAGTCAGGACCACTCCCTCAAGGTAAAGTTAGCATTTTGTAACTTTATCATTTGATTTATACGTGTATCTATCATTGTTATAAAGATCATTTCCAAAAGTTAATTAAAAATATATTTACTGATGCAACTTTTTTATGACGTCGAGCTCTTGGAGCTCGAACGTCATCTAGCAAGCGCCCAGTTGAAATCACGACCGGATATGTACGCGACCGAATGTGTCAGTCGATGCATCCGCAATAGAAAATAGCAATAGCTATAAACCAATTTCTTTGAAAACGCTCAAAATGAATAATACCTTGAAAATAAAATTGCATCAATTATGTCTGCAATTAATTCTATTGCAAAACAACAATATTATGTTTTATTCTCACATAAGAAAAACGTGATGGTTGTTGCGGATGAATTTCTACAGAAAGGGTGCGTTGAATGACATGAATAACATTTCGGAACGATAACCGTGTAACATAAACAACACAACAGGAGGTAAAATAATTACAAAATTACATAAACACGAATACTACAAGACTAAAAAGATTGAATTTCTAAATCTTAGCTTTACTTATACAATCTTCTAACCAACTCTATCCTAAAAACCGATGATATTGACCAGTATTACTGTATTTCTCCATTTCCTCCATTTCCCAGTATACCGTATACCACGCCCGATCGTAACTCGATCGTAATTGTAACAGAACAGAGTCTTGGTTGTAGTTTAGATGCAATCACTAATACAACGCTTTGACATTGGCAATTAGAAAAAATATTATATAAATTCATGAAATCCTTCATAGTTCATAATTGACTGAAAAGAATATTTGGCATGAACATGTTCGACGATGTCTGGTCAATTCGAACCTTGCTCCATTCGGACCATGACATAAGGCCACAGACTGTAATTGTGATATTTTGTTTAAAACTATTTTTTTATTATGTCTCCTGAGTCACTCACTTGACTTATCGCTATCTTCAAATTCAAAATTATCTTTTGAAATTGTTTTTCTTGTTCGACGTCATTGAAGCCTTTCAGGCTTTTGATTTTAATATAATTATTGTAGGTTCGTTATTTTACGCGTGCATGTACTTAATTTTGTGAAATGACTTGAAGACGGCAAATTGGGAGAACATCAATTCACGAGTGGACTGTTAATAAAGAGTTTTGACATGTATTTTAGCCGTGTAAAAATAAGAGCGAGAAATTTTCATGAAAGCTGCCTGTCACGTAATTACGCAATAATAAAATCCCTGTGTATATTTGGGAATCTACAGTTATGAAGCTTTTTATGTCAATGACTGTAATTATATATATGTTCATAATCTAAATAATGGGTATGGTTTTATGTAAAATAGGTGTTCCGTTTAGAGGATTCCAGGTGCTTGTACACTCTGTACGGACATACCACAAAAATAACAGTGCTGTACGCTGACAAGGTATGTAATTATGTCTCCTTGTACACTCTGTATGAACATACCTCAAAAATAACTGTATGAACATACCTCAAAAATAACAGTGCTGTACGCTGACAAGGTATGTAATCATGTCTCCTTGTACACTCTGTATGAACATACCTCAAAAATAACAGTGATGTACACTGACAAGGTATTTAATCATGTCTCCTTGTACATTCTGTATGAACATACCACAAAAATAACAGTGCTGTACACTGACAAGGTATGTAATCATGTCTCCTTGTACATTCTGTATGGATACCACAAAAATAACAGTGCTGTACGCAGACAAGGTATGTAATCATCATGATCATGTCTCCTTGTACACTATGTACAGATGTACCACAAAAATAACAGTGCTGTATGCTGAAAAGGTAATTCTGTCCCCTTTAACAGTAAACATTAAAATCTTGTTCATCCTACATGTAGTTTGACAAAACAGTGCAAAAGAACATCATACTTCATTATGGATACCTAAAACGATTTCACTAGTTTTTTCAACTTTGAGAGAAAGAACATGAAATTTTAAACTGCAATTATAAGACAGGTTTTTGCTGTTATTTTTTAGTTTTTGTTTTTGTAAACATAACAAACAGAATTATTATCAGTGAAAAACTATTTTAGTCACCACCATTTAATGTGGCTAGTGGGGATGCTGAGGGAACCACCAGACTATGGGACCTCCATACAGGCACCTGTCTTCACAAGGTCAAAGTTCATGAGGCAGCAGTGGTGGCCTTGACCTGTACCACTAAGTATGTGGTCAGTTCTGGACTAGATGACCGACTCTGTGTGTGGGACAGAAAGAGGGGAACTCTGATTCATGAACTGGACATGGTAGAGTGTATTACACAAAATAAAATATGATGTTCTCTGGAAATTAATTTAAAAATGAAGCTGTATTTACAGAAATTAAAGTGCAGTGAAATATGACAAACTTTACAAATGATCTTACAGAATGCTTACTTTTTGCATATTTTTTAACTCTTTTAAGTATAGATCTTTCATTGCACATATAGATGTTTTAAATGTATTTTAGATAAAATTACACTCAGATTGTAATTAAAGAAAATTATCTCTGTTTACTTCATAGGATCCGTGTGGAAACAACTGTATGTCGTTGCTGACCTCTCACTTATTAGTTACTGGAGGTCAAGGACACATCCAGTTAATTGACCTTGACAAAGGTGACATCCTAAGAACTGTGAGTGTGGGATCATTTGACAAGTCTGCCTTTGTGAATCAGATCCATATTGTACAGAACACCGTTATAGTCTGTGACTATGCCAGTGAGATGAAGGTGATACAGTTTCCCACCGTGTTGGAGAAAACAGACTAAAGTTTGAGAGAAAAAAATACTGTTGTTGTTGTTTTTCTCAGACATCAGGTTTGTTGAAAATGAGCAGGTTCTGGTGATTGTTTATTTTTGGACTGTATATGGAGAAAACAGACTATATTGATGGAAAGCAGATTAACAGAAATTGTGTTGGTTCCTCCAATGATTTGCTTGTGAAAATGAAATTCCTGTGTCTGTGACAGCCTGGAATGATTCTGTGATCTCATGTGGTGTGCCAACCCTGTGAAATCTTCATATATATAAAACAAGTTCATACCACTCTGTTCCAATTTTCATTTTTACATTAGAACTAAAACCCAAAAGGCACATTTATAGAAGCCATGTTTTAAAGTGCAATGAAGCTACATGTAGTACACTCAGAAAAACAGGACAGATTTATCATAGATCTTACCTCCGTCATTCAGGATTTAATATTTCATTGAAGGGTCATTTTTCTTTCTATTAGATGGGAGGATATTTTTTTAAACTGGATATCTTCATGTTTCAATGACTCCACTTTATAGACTCAAAGTAAACTTTTTAAATATGAGTTGGAGACTATTTAGTCAAGGTCATGATACATTCAGGTTAAGGTCACATCAAAGGGTCATTTTTTCACTGTAGAATTTTATCAATTCTTGGGAATTGTTTTTCAATCAAATAAAATATATTTTTTTTATGTTATATTATTTTATTAGAAAAAAAGAGGAAAGCAATTGTTAAAGTAGATAAAATTTCAAATTAGATCAATGATTTGTGTTTTCTATAGTATCCTTGTCATATTTACTTCAATTTTCTTAACATTATTTTATATGTCTGTAAGGTAAGAAGGAGATGGCAGCCCTCTTATAAAGTGTCATAAAATGCATGAATATACATATGTCCTGTCTCTAAAATTTTGAACATTTACATGTAGCTGTTACCATGGATAATGCATGTATGACGTGTGCAAGGTTTCTATCATAATTGTGTTCACTGTGTAATGTTCAACATTAAAATGAGGGAGCATTAACACATACCATCATCTATGTACTAGGCTTATGCCTTCTGCAGCTTCAATTTTTCTTCTAGTAACAGGTGCTATATTGACAAGCATTTAGCCAAAGATGATTGTAATTGCTCAAGCTTCATTCCTGTAGAAAAGCTTCTTTAACATTAGTGCTATTCTATAATTGTTGTTACAGTTATATAGATTTAACAATGTTAAAAGGCCTAATACATGTATATATAAATTTATATATATCTGCAGTGATACATAGAAAAAAATCATGATTTGTCAGTGCTATATGTGATTCTTTAAATTAATCTCAAGTTTTAAAGTTATTGTTTCTTTTGTTAACGAGGCCTTAGAAGAAAAGAATATAGTATACATTGTACATGTACATGTATTATATCATGTTTTTACATGCAGTCTGTGTTCCTCAAGTTGTAAAAGCCTTATTTTTTTTTTACTGTACATGTGAGTCAGAAATGGAACAGGGGGTTGATTGTTTTGTGTTTATTTATTGAAGAAATTGTATGATAATACAAGTATATAACAACATTGTGTTTATAAGCTTATAAAGAACATACTTAACATAAATTTCATGTATTATGTCTTTCACATCAACTCTCTGTAGATTAATTTAAAACTTTTTTTTTTACTTTCATCTTCATGTACAAAATTAAAAAAAAAAAAAAAATAGATTCTTGATTGAAATCCAAATTGTATTTCATGTGCTTATTAATTTGTGTAATAAAGAGTTAATTTGCAATTTACATGTTAGATCAGGGTGGATAGGTAATACATTAATTTTTTATGCTTTTTACCATGATTTTCTTATTACATACTGTACTATATCTGATTTTGATAAGAAACACTGTGTTCCAAACTGTTCTGTCGTAAATCATTGTTATATTTTCGTTCACTCCATCGCATGAAAACCAAATACATTCTTTAACATTTAGCTGTGTTTCAAGGTAGTGATTTCCAACAAACTTAAGCACCATCTACATTAGTTTAGTTCTGTTTTCAAGTTGTTTGAAGTCTTCAACATGACAATCATTTGTATTATAATTGCGATCACTAAGTAGTATTTTTTTTTTCAGCTGATGTCATTGCTGTATGAGCTCGAGGTTTCTCTGAATATGTGGTAGTAATTTAATATTCAATGTAAAATATCTATCTTTCAGAGTGTATTTATTTTTATATTTATTTTTATATTATTAAATTCAAATTAATGCAATTGATTACAGATTTAAATGATTTTTTGCCCATTTTTAAAATCAAAAAATGTATTTTGAATATGGAAGCTTTGATTATGTTTGATATACTTTCAGAATGCAGTTCATATACAAAAGAACTCATTAGTTTAATTATTGGTTGCATCTGACATGGCATTGCTTTTTTCAAAGGGGTAAATTGCATGCAATTAGTTTACGATTATTGTAAAAATGTTTCAAAGTAAATATATGACTTTTTTGAACTATTTTCCCACCAGTCTCTCTCTTTCTCTCTCTCTCCCAACATTTAGTAAAAAATAGACACACAAACAGTGAGCTTGATAATATTTCTGTTTATCATGTGTTGTATGAATACATGTATCATTGCATGAGATACTGTCTTTTTACTGTCTTCACATACAATATTTTTGTAAAGTTCATGAACAACTAAATGTCACACATATATGTCAATGATTAAATGCTGTTCAAGCAGAATAGTAAATTGCTGATATGCATGTAACTGTTCATGAGTTTAGAAATTGAAATATGTGCCACTGTGCTTGATATAAAGAAGAATCTCAGATAGGTTTTCAATAATGCTATCAACCAAAATGGACTTTTTTAGGTCACCTGAGTCACTCAGGTGACCTATTGCTATCTGTTTTTGTCCGTTGTCGTGCGACGTCCGTTGTGTTAACATTTGAACATTTTCAGCTTCTTCTCTGAAACCGCTGAACAAATTTCAGCCAATTTTAGCATATGGCATCTATGTGCAAAGGGAAACAAAATTTGTGAATTTCATGGTACCTGCCCCCCTGGGGCCTGAGGGGTGGGGCTAAAACCAACAAAATTAATGCAATCTTTAAAAATCTTCTTCTTTACTCCTGGACATCAAGCAGTCAAACTGTTGGCATGATTGTAATAAGCATTGAGCCCTCTACCAAAATTGTGAAATTCATGGGCCCAGGGTCAGGGGTTCTGGTGCTAGGGTGGGGCTATTTAGATCATATAGTGAAAGTGCATTATTTCTTTGAAAATCTTCTTCTTTACTCCTGGGTATAATTGAAACAAATTAAATACATAGTTATGATAAGCAAGGATGACTCTACCAAAATTTTGAAATTCATGGCCCCAGGGTTAGGCGTTCTGGTGCTAGGGCGGGGCTATATAGATCATATAGTGAAAATGCATTATTTCTTTGAAAATCTTCTTCTCCATTCCTGGGTGTTATTGAAACAAATTGAATACATAGTTATGATAAACAAGGATGCCTCTTCCAAAATTGTGAATTTCATGCCCCTAGGGTCAGGGGTTCTGGTGCTATGGTGGATCTATATAGATCCTTTAGTGAAGGTGAATTATTTTTTTGTGAAAATCTTCTTCTCTGCCCCTTGGTATCATTTAAACAAACTAAGTACATTGTTATGATATGCAAGGATGCCTCTTCCAAAACTGTGAATTTCATGGCCCCAGGGTCAAGGGTTCTGGTGAAAAGGGGGGAGGGGGGCTCTATTGAATATATAATGAAAAAGCAAAATTTCTTTGAAAATATTCTTTTCTGTTTCTGGTTAAAAAGCAAAGAAGCTAAGTATATACACTGTAGTTATGATGAGCAAGAGTGCTTCTTCCAGAGAAGTGAATTGCATGACCCCTAGGTCAGATGTGCTTGTGTAAAGGTGGGACTCTTGACAATATAGTGAAAATGCATTAATTCTAATAAATAATCCTGTCTGCTCCTTAGTGTTAAGCAGATAAGCAAAGTGATTACTTATCATATGTTGAGCAAACTTCTGGTTCCAGGGTGAGAGGCTCTGGTGGGGAGGGGGCTCTATTGATAGTATAGTGAATCTGTAGTAAAAATGCATCATTTCTTGAAAAATCTTCTCTGCACCTGGACATTTCAGAGGCAAAACGAGTAAAAGTTTTAATAAGGAAGGGTATTTTTACCAGATTTTTGAACATCTGGACCATTTGGTCAAGTGTTCTGGCCCTTGCCAGGGCTCTATTAATTTGTATTCTACTGAGAGGAGTTATTCCCCTTTGCAATTTACTTTTGATAATTAATCACTGTAAATAATGTACTTGAAAGGTTAATAGAATAAGAGAATTATGCAAGAATTTTTATTGTATAACACAAAAAGTACTTTCATAGTTTTAATGATTAGATAGACTTCTAAGTAATAGACAATTTATGAACTGTAAATGAATACTAGACTTATTATTTTGTTGATCCTGATCACCCTATTTTTCTTGCTTTTAGGCAACAAAGCTTCACCTTTCAGTTCATTTTATACTCTATGAATCCTCTAGATTGTTGTACATGTATTATACTCAGGTGACCATTAAGGCCCTAGGGCCTCTTGTTTTTCAAGTAAGCCATAAGCTTAATTTTTCCGTTTATGGACAATAACAGATCCATTTAAGCATACAGCTTTCGGTCTTATCTGTAATAATCAATTTCGACATGTGCTCCTAACATTCTTGAGAACCATGGGAATGCAGTGGTGGATTAAAGGAGGGGGCACTCATCCTCCCCCCCCCCCCCCACCCCGAAATTGTTTGTCATATTCAAGATAAATCATGTTTCCATCTTTGAAAAGAAATGAATTATTAGATAAAGAGGTATAAATAAATTTATTTCTATATTCTCTTAAGGCAAGAGATTCAGGGGGCTTGATTAATTCCTACGCTATGTTTCTGCAGACCTCAAAGTATTCACAGTTTTATTAATTCTAATCATTAATCATGAATGAGAGGAAATAGCAAGAGTTTCTACAGAGAGGACTTCATTTTTTGCTCTATTATATCTCAAAAATACAGGAGTGCTCAGGGGGTGAAGCTTCAAGTGGCCCCTAAGACCTTCTGCCAGCTGGTGCCTCCCCTAAGTTCAAATCCTGGATCCACCCCTGCTTTATCTTTTGAGCACTTCATCAGTGGACTCCAGTGCCAAATGGGGAAATGTAAACACTTTTTCTTGGAAATGTTCACATGCTATTTAAAAAGATTTGAATGATACTTAAAAAAATTACTAGGGCCACAATGTTTACCTGAGTCACACACTTGTCCGGCTTTTCTTGAGAAGATTATTAAAAGGGGTTTTTTTCCCTCTATATTCCTGAGATTGCTGAATTGCAAGTTCATTGAATAATTAAGCCCAGACCGATCTCTTGGTCTGCACTTCTTGATGGTGCTTGCATATTAATATGAACAACTATGATTCTGTGATTCTGCTGTTTCTGAGAGGAAGATTTTTAATACCCCCCCCCCCCTAAATATTTCCATGTAAAACTGAGAATCTCCTATTGTGACACAACTTACCCAGGCAATCATTCGAACAAACCGGTCGTGGTAGCTTAGTATAGTAGGGCACCCGCTTCGTGATCGGGAGGTACTGCATGGGTTCTTTTCTCGTTCCTGTGTCAAACCTAAGACGTAAGTTTTACATTAGGTAGTGACGGGTCCTTCGTCAATAGCCCGGAATGAAACGGTAGAAGTGAAAGTCACGGGTTTTTTGAATGAGACCTTAAAAACCGAGGTCCCATGTCATGATAGGCGTTGACACGATGAAGAACCCTCACTGCTCAATGGCCTTTAGTGCAAAGTAAAGGTCTAAATTTGAAGCCCTTCACCGGTATATGTCGACATCTCATATGCCTTAGAAATTCTAGAAGGAGACGTAAAACAACAACTACCACTCATTTGAACAAATTTGAGTCTGTACACAGGTGAATCTGTACTCAACTATGCTTGCATTTTAAAATCAATTAATGACTTATCATGACTCTGCTGTTCTTGTGAACAAGTGTATATATATATTTATATATATATATATATATATATATATATATATATATATATATATATATATATATATATATATATATATATATATATTGGATGAAATCCCGCGCGCAAGCGCAGGGAATTGAATTTATACCACTACCGACTGAAAAATTCCAATAATATATGTTGTAGTTTTTACTGACAGCCTACAAGCATTCCTTCATAGCAGGAAGAAACAGTTTAGTCCCTCCCCCCCCCCCCCATCCCCCGGTTCCTACGGCCATGATTGGTCTACTGGTTCTGGGAAAAATCTAGAATGTGAAAAGTTAACGTGCATATGTTCATACATCAGATGACAGACGGACATCCTTCGATCAGAAAAGATCGCCCGAGCCAAGCTCAGGTGGGCTAAAACGGGGATACCGGTATAAACATAGTGCCATGTGGTTCCTGCCATGTGCCTATTTAAGCGCTAGCGATCTTTGTGTGAGTGATGGGCAGTTTAACTTTTTTAGCATCTTGATGGACTCCGGTACCAAAATGGGCAATATCACCGGAGGGGGGTCCATAACTTTAGTTACAGTCATCCCAAGATGGTAGGAGCAAAAATTTCGTTGATATATCTTCATGCATTTACATGCTAAACCTGCACAGCTCTTTTTCAGACGTTTTGTTTAACTTTGAAGCGCGCAGCTTTCACAAATTTGTTTTGAAATAAATATCGACGTTGGAAAATATCCCTTTAATGGCCGTAAGTTTCCTGTGTGATGAGGGTAACTGAATATATTAGAGG